CACTTTGAATATTAAATAATACGAAGGGAGCCAAAAGAGTTCTGGATGCAAGTGTATGCAGAAAATACTGCTGTTGACAAGATTTTATTAAAACTACTAGTGACTTTTACTTTTACATTTCTATGTGAGACTGCATTTTTAACAAATGCTTACATACACAAGAAATTTTTAAGCAAAAACCAAAACCGACTTTAATTCTCATATAAAAATTTAAGATTATCGTTAATCTCTTCATGATCCAATGATCGGATGCAAATCAAATTAGAATGGGACCACCTGTCCCTTAAAAAAAAAAAGAGGTATAGTAATCGGTTAACGTAGTCCAAACTTATGCGGTACCATACATAAAAAAAAAAATGATAATAAAAAATATTTCGACGAATTGATAACCTCCTTTTTGTGAAGTTGGTTAAAAACAAATGCACCAGCACGCTTTCAGCGTCAGATGATTTCGGGGTAAAATTGTCAAAGCTCCCAATAAACTTAAAGGAGTAATGAAATCATCATAACAATTTCAGTCCTCACATTAAAAGGAAATGAGCATACAGTTTGCATTGTGTTTTCTTGTTTTCGTAGACATTTGAAGAGTAGGGGTGCCGCGAAATTTTTTTAGCACAACAAGGGTCCCGCACTGAAAAGTTTGGGAACCCCTGTTCTAAGCAAAGAGAAAGTAAAAAGAGCCGCACTTTGCTAAGCAAAGAGCCGTTGCCCTATAGGAATTTAAAGTACTAAAGGTCTATCCTATCGATACAAATTTCACTTAAAAATCTCGTATAAATCCGTTCAGTAGTTTTTGAGATTAGCGTGGTCAAAGGCCCCTATTATGAGTTGCATTCGATCTTCGACTGTGGTCGAAAGTGCTGATCGAACGAATTTTCATTTGGTATTATGGCACTCATTCGGTGAAGAATAGCACTATTGTGAATTTCGCTCGTTTAGGTTGTTCACAATAGTATATTTTTAATCGCTGAGAAGCATGGTACAATAAAACAGGTAGAAGCCAATTTGACGTCAAACCTACAAATCTTCGATAGCCAGCGAAGATCGAAAATCGAAAATCGAATGCAACTCATAATAAGGGCCAAAATATCTCGACTTTCCTTTAGTGTGTGAGTGCGTGTGTGTGTGGAACCCGTTGTAAGGGAGTTAAGGGAGTGTCAAAACTCGAATGTCACTAGTGAGCAANTCGCTGAGAAGCATGGTACAATAAAACAGGTAGAAGCCAATTTGACGTCAAACCTACAAATCTTCGATAGCCAGCGAAGATCGAAAATCGAATGCAACTCATAATAAGGGCCAAAATATCTCGACTTTCCTTTAGTGTGTGAGTGCGTGTGTGTGTGGAACCCGTTGTAAGGGAGTTAAGGGAGTGTCAAAACTCGAATGTCACTAGTGAGCAAACTTTTAATTATTAAGTCATGGTGAAAACGTGAAGTGAAAACTTCATCACTTCACATAAAATTACGATTCTGTTTTCAAACGAAAATTGATTGGTCAAAAAGTTTTCACTGTGAAAACTTTTTTTAAACCGGGTTTGTTCCTGTGAAAAAGGTTGGGCATTTTTCCCAAATTCATGATCTTGTCTTAAACTCACAATAATTTACCAAATAATTTCGTGCTAGCTGTTAATGGAAAAGCCTTACATGAACGGGAATCGCTTAAAATGATATACAGCCTTATCACGAGTTTCATAAAGTGAAAAAATTTAATTTTCACTGACATTGAATTTTTCATTTTCACTTCACAATTTCATTGAACGAGAATTGGTCCTCAGGTTTTTTTAAACACTGTATAGTACGGACCAGGGATCGGTTAATCAAGTTTTTAATGAATCATAATCCTGATTAGTCAAATAATTTAATTAATAAGATTCTAATTAAGCAGATACTGAGTAATACTGTTTACTCCAAAAAAATTAATTGAAATTTGAATAACTGTGTTCACTTCTTTCGAGTTTTCTTTCAAACCAAATGAAATTTTTTTTTATACTGTTACTCTCAAAATTGAGCGTACGGCAATTTTTTGTTAATATGCGCAATGTTTTACATACTAGAAATTTTTTGTTAATTTTATATTACAATAAGGCCTATATTTTAGCAAAAGCGCGCAAGTCGCGGACTTTTTAATACGAATTTCTATAAAGAATTCAGGTATGAAGTTTTATAGCTTATATTTCAGTATAATACTGTGCAAAATTCAAATCTCTAAAAAATCGCGTTGACTTTCTACAATTCTTTTGCTGAATTTCCATATAAAAAATTTTCAGAATTTTTTTATATGAAAAAAACGCGGACAGCCAGCAAAAAAAATCTCAATAATCAACGCGAATTTTTAGACATTTGAAATTTGCAAATTATTTAACTAAAATTTAATGGGCTATACAAATGCATACCTGAATTCTTTTTAAAAATTCGTATACAAAAGTTCGCGATTTTGCTGAAACTTTGCAGATTTTTCTTAATTTTTGTACACAGTATCATTCTTGGTTTTAAATGGGAACATAAGTCATATTTTAAAACAAAATTAATAAAAATATTTTAGCATGTAAAACATTGCGAATACATATTAACAAAAAAGAGCCGTACACACAATTTTGGGAGTAACAGTATGTATGTTTGTATGTGGAAATATGTATGTTCGTATGCACATTCAATATATGTATTTCTCATTACATAATAAAAATAAAATGCCAAACAAGTACGTACTATGTAGAACATACGACGTAAATGTGCATATGGATGTACATAGCTGCTTAAAATGAAAAATACGTTCACATATCGTCGTTTAAACTTTAAAGTACAAAACCGCGTATCGTCATTCTGCAAACCGCGTAACTGGCATTTGCGGCCAAAAATAGGATTTACTCACACAAGCTCTTGGCTCAATACTTATCCATTCGTCCTGAAATAAACTTGCCAGAAATGCGATTGCTTTATAAAAAAAAAAAACAAGTAAAGTATAATTTCGGGCGAAACCGCCCTTTATATACCCGGCGCGCGTATTAAATACCGTTTTTTCACTTTTCACTTTCGTCATTTCACTTTCATTATTGCATGATAAGCAAGAGTATTTTTCCCGATGTCAAACAGTTTCGATAATATGCTATGAGATATTGAAATAATTGGAGCAAGTTTGGTGGAAATCGATAATGGGGCTATCAATATACACTTATGTATGTAGTCATAAGAGGGTGGTGCCGCGCCCATTAAGAAAAGAATCAATAATATTGTGTCTTGTTAGGAGACTGTTGTAAGGTGGCGTGTTTAATTATCGAAATATCGGAATTTTCGTATTTCTGAAATTTACCGTTATATGGGATATATTGTCTGATTTCAAAAATTTTGAGGCTCTAAGAAATGTTTGTACCGAGTTTGGTGGGGATTGGTAAGGGACTACAGAAATACAGCATTTCATCGTAAGTGGGCGGTGCCACGCCCATTTTCGAAAAATGTCATAACTGTCTTATTTTGTGCCACAATTCTATTTCGCGTACCAACTTTCAAGAATTTTGAAACAGTATCTACGGAAATATCGTCGATTTTGCATATTTCGAAAATACCGTTATATGGGAGGTGGGCGTGGTTATTGTCCGATTATGCCCATTCGATCCAAACCCACCTTGGATAAAGGGCAACCTACTTACCAAATTTCATTGACATATCTCAATTTGTTCTCGAGTTATCGTGTACACGGACAGACAGACGGACGGTTTTGCATTATCTTGATACGCGGTTTTGCATTTTGTTGATACGGTTTTGTACTTTAAACAACGATATATAGGTACATATGTACATATTGTCGTTTAAAGTACAAAACCACGTATCAACAAAATGCAAAACCGCGTATCAAGATAATGCAAGACCGTGTATGTGTGGTTGCATAAATTATGTTCTAGAGCAAAAACACTCATATTTCAAAATGGTTCTCTTTTTCTATAAAGGAATCGCATTTCTGGCTAGTATATTTCAGGACGAATGGATAAGGTTTGAGCCAAGAGCTTGTGTGAGCAAATCCAATTTTTGGCAGCCAAAGTCAATTACGCGGTTTTGCAGAATGACGATACGCGGTTTTGTAATTTAAAGGACGATATGTATGTATAAATTCTTTTCTATTTTTGTATACACACATATGTATGTATGTATGTATGTAAAACAAAATATATCAGCAAATACTCAGATTTCTCGTTAATCAGGTTATGATTAATCAGTTTGCTGATTAATCAAATTAATTAGATTCTGATTAATCAATCATGCCTATTACGGTATCAAACGGATACCGTAATAGGCATGAATATGTAGATAATCGGAACCCTAATAATTTTGTTTAATCGAAAATAATTATTCTTTGATTAATTAATTAATCGGCTTTCGATTAATCAGCCTGTTAGATTAATTCATTAATCGCCCATCCCTAGTACGGACTGAAGACATGATGTGGTATACCANCCCTTCGCTTATTCCGACTGTACGAATCTGATTAGATCCGTGCGGATGGCATCCGTCGGATACCGTAATAGGCATGAATATGTAGATAATCGGAACCCTAATAATTTTGTTTAATCGAAAATAATTATTCTTTGATTAATTAATTAATCGGCTTTCGATTAATCAGCCTGTTAGATTAATTCATTAATCGCCCATCCCTAGTACGGACTGAAGACATGATGTGGTATACCAAATGAAAACTTGTTCTATATACTACTGAATTATAAAATTTTTACATATATTTATTAATTCAATTTTTTAAAAACCATGTGTTTGTTTAAAATTTTATGTAACTTTTTTTAGTTAAATTGAGTTGTTGCTAAAAATTTACAAGATGTATATTACATTTTTATATTGTATTAAAGGCATTCATATTTCCTATTAAAAGACATCAAAAACTCTCAAATCTGTCCTTTCGTTTTTGAGATATTTGGATTTAAAAAAATTATTAATTTAACCTTTGACCCTTGGTAACTCCTGCAGTTTTTGTTTCCCATCAAAATAAATTAAACCGATATACTTGCTTCAAAAACCTCTATTGACGTCTTTGTTCAAAATTAGTCGCCCGGTTATCGTAATCGTGCCAACAGCTTCTCATAAAAATACAATAGACGTTCGGAGTCGACGTAAAACTGTAGGTCTCTGCCATTTATGTGTTATAGTATTTTTACGCAGAACTTCTTTCTGCGTAGGGGGTCTTCTATTTTTCCCACTATTTTGAATCACCTCGCCTGAGCCCTGGAGTCAGAAGAGATTCGTAACCCAAGCCAAAGAGCAAAAATAAATAAGTGTGTAACAATACGTCTGTTCAATGTGCTTTACGATTTTCACGTTTTTACAGGAAGTCGTTCCCGCACCTCCCATAAGGTTTAATAATGGCGAAAACAGCTTTTCCTGTAAATCCTGTAAACCTGCAAATCGTGAAGTACCTGGAACAGGGCTAATATTAAATAAAACTTACATTAACTCAGTGATTCGCAATTAAAAACGGAAACTCATACAATGGAAATATTCACTGAAGAAATATACATACATATATGTATTTACAACTGAAATAAGAGAAACGAAGGATAATAGTTAAAAATAAAATTTAGGACAACTTCAATATTTGATATCCATGATGTTTGATATGTATAATTTGATATTCGAACCTGTTGAAGATTTGTAAGGGGTGTTATATCTTCCATTGATTTTTCTTGATATTAATCGTATAACTATGTAATATTGCACCGATACCCCTCACACAGGTACCAATTGAGAGCGATGACTAAACCGCGAAATAATGTCTGGTACTGATACTATTACAAAGGCGGAAAATTTTTCCTTGATACGGATTTCGATCGAGACAAATAGCGGCGTTGTTTGTTATCTACGGCGAAAGTGTCTGGTACTGATACTATTGCAAAAGTGGAAAATTTTTCCTTGATACGGATTTCGATCGAAACAAACAGTGGCGTTGTTTGTTATCTATATAAATCGAAACCCCAACCTGGCCTATGTACATATATTTAATATTTATTATCGCAATTCCCACTTATAAATACTTAGTGATAGAACGATACGGGTACCCAGTAGAGCTGGAGAACAATCGATAGCACTATCGATAGTATCGTTGTTTTATAAGGTGTGTACATTAATGGGCTGTTTTTGCCTACGCGTAAAAGCACATTTAGCTCTAAATGCTACTCTAAATGTACATTTATCCATACAAAATTCGTCACCTAAATGCAACTAAATGCAACTCCATTTATGCATTAAGAATCTAAATGCTAAAAGCAACCCTATGATCTTCCAAAATTTCCACGATTCGAACATGGTTTAATGTGAAAAAGTGGCAACATTGCTTTTTCGAGTATACAGTCGCTAGCTGCGTTTCAGTGATTGCCGATCGAGATTTCATTTATTATTTTACATTATTTGGATAAAGAAAAGTTACGCAAATTCAACATCGATATGATGCTGATAGAAATCTGGATTAATTTGTGATCAACTCTGTTTATTTTGTTTCCTAATTAAGTATGGAAATTATAATTGACAGCACCGACAAATGAATATATACACAAACAAATGTTGGGTTATGGTTAAAACAATTCAAGTTTTTGTATTGAATTTTCGGTTTAGATTTTTTTTTTTCCTATTCGCGCGATTTTTTATTACAAATTTTCATTATTTATCAAAGTATTGATTTTTATGGAAAAGCGCCGCAGGCGAAAATTTTTAATAAGAAATCGCGCGATTTTTTATTAAAAATTTTCATTATTTATCGAAGTATTGATTTTTATGAAAAAAGCGCCGCAGCCGTAAATTTTTAATAAAAAATCGCGCGATTTTTTATTAAAAATTTTCATTCTTTATCGAAGTATTGATTTTTATGGGAAAAGCGCCGCAGGCGAGAATTTTTAATAAAAAATCGCGCGATTTTTTATTAAAAATTTTCATTATTTATATATATATTAAACGAAAGAAGATACCGAAAAGCATTGAACAGTGCACACACCTTATAAGGAAAAGTGAATTATTACGAAATACTAATACAGTGGCAGCACTATAGCTATTTTGGAATCTCGCGTTTCAGTTCGCAAAGATTGTCAACTTCTTTTTAATAACAAAATAATCTATCTTAGGTTGATAAAACTATGTGTTTGTTTAATAAATAAGTTAAATTATATATTTTAATAGTGTTTAAAAAGTGAGAACAGGTGATTTAGTGAATCTTTGTCGGTGTAATTGCCCATAGAAAACAACGAAATTTAACAAAAGTTTTTTGTTCATAACTTTTAAATGGTTAATAATATTAGCCTTCCCCCTCCGGATTGTTAATAGGGGGACCGCAACGGGTCGTTTGGTACCCCTCCCGACTTTTCCGGACCTTTTTTAGGGGTTGTTACCCTACACTAGAGAATTACCTATGTAAGTTTTATTCAAAGCCAAAAAGTCAAAAAATTAATTTTTTAAACTTAAATATCTCTTAAACCATTAACCATGTTTCAAAGATTTTTATGTCGTTAGAAAGGTAATAAAAATGACATACAATAATGCTATTCTTTATTGAAAAAAATGTATGAATAAACATGTTTTTTTTTTTTAAAAAATTTATTTTTAATAAATGTATTTTTTTTGCCAAAGAAGAGAGGCTGAGCACCTTTTACAGAGACCACCTTTCTGCGTAGGCGGCCTTCGGCCGCACTTAGGGCCGTTTGCACCATGTCTAGTTAACGCTAACTGGAGGTACATCCTTCAGTTAAGCACGTTAACTGCTTTATCGATCACATGTTATATGATGGGTGTCGATAACGTCGATAAAGATGTTTAACTGGGAGTTAGAATTAACTAGACATGGTGCAAACGGCCCTTAGGGATTATAACCCTCACAAAGTAGAATTCTCCTTTCTGTGTTGCCAAAGAAGAGCGGCTGAACACTGTTCGCAGAGAACACCTTATATTATTATTATATACCTCACAAAGTAGAATTATCTTTTCTGTGTTGCCAAAGAAGATGGGCTGAACACCGTTTGCAGAAAACACCTTTCTGCGTAGGCGGCCTTCGGCCGCACTTAGGAATTATAACCCTCAAGAAGTAGAATTCTCCTTTCGGTGTTGCCAAAGAAGAGGGGCTGAACACCTTTTGCATAGAAGATCATTCTGCGTAGGCGGCCTTCGGCCACACTTAGGGATTATAACCCGCACAAAGTAGAGTTTTCCTTTCTGTGTTGCCGAAGAAGAGAGCTGAACACCTTGTGCAGATAATATTTCGCACATGTATACATTACGAGATAAATATACAATAGTAATACACTTAGGGCCGGTTACTCAATGTCTGGTTAACACTAATCTGCGGTTAAACATCGTTATCGACGTTACCGACTCCCTGTTATATGCATGGAGTCGAAGACGTCGGTAACGATGTTTAACCGCAGATTAGTGTTAACCAGACATTGAGTAACCGGCCCTTAATCACTTAAAATAAGTAAAATGTAATGAAAGCTTATTTTCCCTTTAGGTGATTAGCTAGTTTTTTATGTTGACAATAACGTGATTTAATAATAATCATTTTGTTTTTAATTTTGTCATGTTTTTTTTTATAAAATCTCATTTTTCTCATAAGCTTTACAAAACTAGTAAAACATATATATATATCATTAAAAAGATATTTTTAATACCTTTCAAACGAGATCAAAATATTTTAAATTAATATAGTAGTTTTTTAGTTATTCCAATTACATTAAATTCAAAAATTTATTTTTCGACCTTCAATACACCAATAATTATTTTTTCCACCTAAAAAAATACCGTTATGATCAAGACTAAGAACCCTGTCGATCCCAATATAAATATTTCCTGATAGAAATCTGGCTCAATCTGTGATCAACTCTGTTTTTGTTTTTCCTATTTAATTGAGGAAATTTCAATTCACAGCACCGAAAAATGAATATATACACAAACGAATTTTCGGTTATGGTTTAAACAATTCAAGCTTTTGCATTGAATTTTTTGTTTAAAATTTCTTTTTTCCTTTTCAGTAGGTTTTTTGCACATTATCTTCTCTGTGCGAATTGATCGTGATAGATACGGATCTGAATAAGCTACTGGAACACGGCTGTTTGTCAAAAGCATACGATTTCGAACTCGCGTAAATGTACTTTTGCTAAAGGGCGGTCCACATAGAACTTTCGCGTTGGCTTTGGCGTTGGCGTTAGTTTGACATAACGCACGTTAAAAGTATGCTTGCTACAATGAACGCTTGGCAGCGAATGCTTGGGCCACTAAATTAACATACTAACGACAGATAAATTAATATTTCATATCAATAATTGCATTAAAAACGATATTTCTTGCCCGCACTTGATTAAAAAGAAAAAATATTTCACATAATTTTATTCATTTGCAACAGCTGACGAGCGACGCACGCGAAAAGTTGAGAGTTGGCCATCTTTTTGCTTTGTGTTGGCGTGAGCGTTGTCGAATTTTGGCTATGTGGACGGCTGCATTTGGATTCATGTATTCATAGTCAGCTGTTGAAGCGACGCCAACGCCAACGCAACGCCAAAGTTCTATGTGGACGGGCCTTAAATGCGATAGCAGGTTCATTCCTTATATTTTTGGACTAAAATCTGAAAAGTGCCAAATGCCAGAGCGTAAGCAAAATGCGCTCACTAAAAGAGAATAACAGTAAAAGTAAAGGAACGTAAAATAAGAATGGAAATGTATGTACAAAACACATTCACACAAGCACAAGCACAATAAACACTTAATATATCAAATATTTTTTGCCTCCTTCCAATCTCAATTAACTTTTTTTACTTTTTAGATTATTATTATTATTGTTGGGGATAGAGCACTGCGACCTTAAGATCTATTGTGCCATGTGTTCATGGATTATAGTGTGTCTATTAATCCAGTATCCGAGAGAAACTTTAGTATAGAACCTAAATCTACGGATTTCACTTCGCCTTTGGTTATCAGATGTTCACCCAGGTGCCTTTTGCGTTTATGCATCAGTGCAGGACATTCTTCTAAGATGTGCTGTGCAGTCTCGTTTTTCATCCTGCAAAATCTGCATCGCTCATGCGAGTAAATTCCCAGTTTAGTCAGGTGATAGTGTCCTGTCAGAATTCCTGTAACAATTTTTAAGTTATTCTTTGATAAGTTCATACATTCCTTGAAGCGTTCTAGGTTATATGTTCATAAAAGTGCTTTGGACTGCTCTAGACCTGGTAGATTATCCCAGTAGTGATTCCTCTGAGCTTCTTCCTCTAGCCGAATTAGTTCAGAGAGTGCCCCTTTTCCCAAGCTGTAGAAAGGTTCGCATTCCCGAAACCGCTACTTTGGTTTTGCCGACTTTGACATTTATGGCAATACGTAAACAAACTTTTTGTTTAGAAACAAGTGCAAACGTATTGCAAACGTATTGTGCACTTTCAAGCGAAAAATCGAAGTAATTCGCGCGTTCTGAAGTAAAAAACGTTTTATTTGTAATAAAAACTTTATAAAAATGTCGTGTCGTGTGTTGAATTGCAGCAGCCGTAGGGTTAAAGCCCCCAAATGCAGTTTTTTTTGTTTCGCCGCGACGACGCCTTGGCCAGAAAGTGGGTAGAGTTCTGCCGGCAGGTGAAGCCATACAATTTAGACACCAGCGTAATATGCATGAAGCACTTTACGGACCACTTTTAAACTCGACATGTTAAGTTGAAAGCGTTGAAATACCACAATTTACAAATTAAAATCGAAGGTAAGCAAGCATCGACCACTTTCTGCAGGAAACCACGCGCTGCGACAAGATATTATCACTTTTTTGGCACCTGCAATACAAACCCAAAAATGATAAATAGTTAATTAATATGACCTATTCTTTTGAACACATTTCAAGAGTGGTTGTATATTTTTTGTTAACGTTGTGCTTAATTTGCTATATTCAAAGATGGCTTGAGAAATTGGTGAATCGAGAAGAAAACACGTTTTCTCACTGCAAATTCACAACTGTCAACTCATTGTTCTTCGCCATGTTCTTTTTTTACCCGTTGCCACAAATGTCAATCTGCGGGAATGCGCAATCTTGTATTCTATCGTTCT